TGTCCCTACATGTCCCAGTTACACCTACCCATGAAGGCTGTCACTTTGCTCCCTTCTGTTTTTCAGATGGTGAGGCTGTAATATGAGTTCCTCCCGTGCCAGGGATCCAGTGATGAGGAAGTTGACTCATTGAGGAAAAAAAGCAAGGACTACTGCCAAGCCATTCTCAGAAGCACATATTGCGAACCTTGACTGCCCATTGCAAAACTCCCGCAAAATCTGAAAACCTTTCTGCACTAAAGTTGGAAAAATAAAATAATAGCAGACCTATTTAATTTAATACTGATGTGAATCAATGTGCTACACATTGATGTAGCACTGAATTCAGCCTTGAATGGCTTCAGAGGGAAGGATGAGCCTAAGAAAACCTTTGCAATTTGCACAAAGGGAGATCTGGAGCAACGTCACCACAGTCAGTGGCATTGCTTTTCATTGCCATCAATGTAAAGGAGAAAAAGAAACTGGTTTTTTGAGTTCATATCAGGACAGCAGATGAGCAAGCCTGGTCTTAAAAGTCCTACAGAACTGAAACGCCACAGACAAAGGCATTAAGAAACACTTATTGTGATGTTCTTCTCTCTGTTTACAAGTCCCCTTGTGGTCTTCTTAAATGGCCAGGGAACATTTTTAGCCACCCCCTCCAGGCTCCAGATTATGCCTTGGTTAGCAGATCATCTGGGCAGCTCTCTCTGTCTGTAACTCTATATGAATGACTTCAGTGACAAACAATACAACCATTCACTTTTTGTAAAAAAACAACCACTGCCACCAAATGGTTCCAATTTAAATACTTCTGGTTCTCTAGCTACTGGTTCCAATTTGGTATCAGCTACTGTCAGCTGTAAATCCCAATGAATTTTGAAGTCACGATCTTGAATTGAGTTCTGCAAATGCAGAATTACGAAGAAGAAATGAGTATCTCCAAGTAGGAAGTTTAGACAATGAACCCATCACATCCATATTGCAGAATTGTGGGTTACAGAAGCTCGTGCATGGGTACTGCCATTTAAGAGTGGTTAATCATCACATGCTCCAGAAGCTATGCATTCCTCAGGAAAGAAACAATATAGAGATCTGAGAATGAAATCACTTCTACTTTAACTCATGTTGATGCCTGGCATGGGGCAGCTTATCTTATTTTCTTGCAATCAGAATTGGGTGACTTCATCGAAACTGCCTATTTCAAATCACCCCTGATCTATCCTAACTTCCTAAATGCCACTGGGAATTGATTCCCAGCATATGATCTGGTCTGGATGAAAGCATTGCAAGGGACCCAAGGACCACTCTAATGATTTACTGATACATATGTAATGAACAAGTATTGGTGCCTGGGATGTTCCTTGACAGAGTTTATTTTATGAGGTTCACTCAGGACTCACCTATTCCTGTTCTTGCCCTGGTAGTGTATGATTGCCTAAAGAAATATTTTCACACAAAGGTGAGTGCAAGGAGCAGTGGATTTCTTGCATCCATTCCACTGCCTGCAGCATGTTACAAATACAGATCAAGGCAGAGGGTTTCCATGATGTAAAAAACCCTGAACTGAGTTAGCTTCACATGTAGGCTAAGGTTCTGAGCCAGTTCTTACTTTATCCAAATCCATTCTGCCTATCCCTAATCTAAATGAGCTCAGTCATTAGCCTTTAAATCTTTATTTCTCTGTGCCAATATTGGCTTTAATTCAGCAAGGCACTTAAATATGTGCTTAACTTCAAAAGCACAGTTAAGTCCCACTGATAGATTTGACTACAAGGGGATGTAAGCAAATAGCTAAAGGCTTTGCTAAATTGGGGTCTTAGTGACACAATCCTAGAAACATTTGTATTTTAACATGTTTATAGAGAATTATAACAATTAAGTGGAACTCTTCCTTCCTCACATAAAAACAAGCCAGGACTTCCTCTTTCGAAAAGCTTGCAGCAGCCAAACTTTCTTTTCCTAACCCTGGGGTCAAGCACTTTTCCAAGAACTCATCTTAACACAGAGCCCTAATTGTTTGTTTCCTTCATGATGAGTATATATGCATAGGTGAGCATAAAAGCTGATAGCATATACTTGTTACAAGAAAAGCCACACCATTATCTATTGTACACAGGAAAGATTTCCTCTTTGCTCAGGCCAGGCCAGCCTGGGCTGCAGATCTGAGGCATACCTTGGCTTTGTTCTATGCCACCGTACATACAACTCACACATGTGTAACCTTCAGATGGTTTTTCTAACAGATTTATCCTTAAAATGTGTTTGTCTTTTCCTCTGTAGAGATTTCTCTAAAGGCAAGAGCAGGTTCTCTCTCTAGTCCAAACATATATGCAGCATTTTGAAAAGCAAAGGCTGCTAGCCACAGTCCTTGTTGTAGAAATGAAAGAAGTCTGAACTGCAAAGGGGGCAATGAATTTATCTTCCTCAGTCTTCAGCTAAAACTCACTGGTCCCCTTGTACTAACACAAAACCTCAAAGAACATCTACCTGAATCCTTGGGGCTGGATGGGGTTGGTGGACCTGATGCTGACTGTGCCATTGGAAGGAGGATCAAGCACTTTTTAGGGGTTTGCCTTCAAATTTGGTCCATGGGAGTGACCAAAAGAGTGGCGATAGTCCCTTCTATGGTCACTCCAGTGATCTCACAGCAGTAACATTGGGCCTGGCTCTGACAGTGATCACAGAAAAACCCTAATTCAAATTTATAGGATTAAGAATGAGCATAAACCCAGAGATTTACAGAAAACACTCGATCCAACACCAGGTAAACTGTGAGGAAAAGAGAGGCAAAAGCCAGCATGTCCCCACCATCGGACCAACAACATTCTCTCTGGGGACTGGCTCTGCCTTCAGCCTCCCTGCACCCTGCTATGGGCCATATTGAAGTGATAAAGCTTTCAAAGCCCCTTCACCCTGCCAGCCTGGGAACAGGACTGTGTGCCTGGGTGTTAGCAGTCCTAAAGATCTCCCTGCCAGAGTCTGTCCAGGCAAACAAAGAGAACACATCGCCTTCCACTTTAATAAAAGCCAAATGATGCCATTTGCCAATTACCAAAATGGGGCGAAGGTTAAAAAGCCCATTGAATTATAACACATGTCACGGACCAAAGCTTCTATGATTAACAGTTCTGTGAGAAATTCATTAATTTCACCAGGAGCAAGCTGACAGAGATTGCGCTTAATGACAGAACACAGGGCAGGGGAAAGGCAGCGGAATCAGGAAAGAGAAAGCTGCATTAATTCACCAAAAAAACCCCAGAGATGAGGAAACCCTTCCCCCCCCTCTTTATAAAATGCAAAAAGAAAAATAACCAGAGTTACAAAGGGTGGTTGCATTTGTTCCGCTGCTGAAGATTTATCTTCATCATTTCTTGTTGAGAAAGCTGACAGCGGGAGAGAACAAGACAAAGAGAAGAGCTGGAGTGGGCTACATCTCCCTGGGGCTTGTTTGGGGCAGCAAAGGGTGAAGCATGAATGATGGCCCTCCATTGAGGCCAGGGTGAGGGCAGGCGATGGCATGTTGGCCAAGAGTGGGTCTTGGTCTACAGTGATGGTGCCCCCAAGCTATCAAGTGCCCAGATGTGCATGCTTAGGGAGGAAGGTAAACCCCAACTCTCCCCTGCAGAAGCAATCCTGCAGTGATAACAGTGAGTTCATGCCAAGATTTAACCAAAGGAAAGGAAAATCTTTTTGCTACACTAACTAGAAAGCAAAACGAGCTGCACAGTGTGGGACATACACACTGGAGGGCTATGGTCAGCCAGAGCCTGCTCCAGGGGCCGGAAGCTTTATCTTCACTATGAACATGGAATTAATGGTGGATTAGAAAGCTGGAAACTCCTGAAATCCACAACTGTGATTTGGGAAAACCTGGGTTTTCACAACTTCCCCCTGCAGTTTCCAGGAGAAGTATGTGGTGAACACAGCAGGGAAATGCCAGCCAGGGAAAGCAGCACTTCACAAGAACTGCCTTGCAGGGATGGGACCCCCCAGCTGATGTTTCCTACGCGGTGAATAGGACAAAAACCTGATTTCTGAGGAACTGCTGTGAAAGGCAGCCCCAATGCACCAGCCTTCCTTGCTGCCCGAGTGACTGAGGGGAGGGAACTTATACCTCTGCTTCTACACACCCAATTTCACCCTGCACTCCATGAGGCTAAATAGGAAATAGTAAAAGTGTAATTCCAGCTATGAAGTGCAAGAGAAGAACTAACGGGGCCATTATATCTAAGGATGCAACGTGAAAATAAAGCGTGTCAGTTTTGCAGCACATCTCCAGCAGTGAGGTAAACTTCTGCTGAAAACAAGAAAGAGCCTGTGGTCAGCTGCAGGAAAATAACCCAATAATGGGGAAAATACAGCTGGAAAGTAGAGTTTTGTTGGGGTTTTTTATTCAAACCCTCTATAAATGTCTTCAGAAGGATGGAATGGATTTTCAAAAGAGATAACAATGACTGAGGACAACCACCTATAAAATAACTTTTGCATTTAAGCTCCTTTTTCTCCTCTAAAATACTAACTGTAATACTTATTTTAAGAAAGAAGAATGAGCACAAGTTTTATTTTCAGTTATTAAGTTGTCACTAACCCATGGGAGCGACCCGTTCAGCCTCAAAATAAAGCTGTGTTAACTCTTAAGGGCTGATATATTTCTTTTCCCTCACTTTTAAAACCTGCACCCTTGCCTCGAAGTGTCTGTATGTGGCTATAAATCCTTTCCAACCAAAATAATTCTCCTTGAAGAGGGAGAAATAATATTTCTAGTAGAGAAAAGCCAAAAAGCAGGAAAAACATCCATGTTGACCTAAGGAAAATGAAAGAGGTAAAATCGATGCTTACTTATGGGAAGAAAAGATCCTTTTAAAATTCAACATCTTAAAAGTCATATTAGGCAACAGCAACCACTGGGGAAAGGGCAGAAGGGAAGGCTGGGACTGCACTCAAAGGGAGTCTGATGGGGAGACCATGAGCAAAGGAGGCAGAAAACCCACATCCAGCTTCTGAACTGGTTAAGAATAAATTAAACAAAATCCCTCTTTCTAAGTTCTTCCTGGATGGGGAAAAATTGCAAAGGAAAGAGATGGGAGGTGACAGCAAAGGCGTTACCTATTTCCTGGCTGCACAACTTTTTCCCTACATCTTGGATACCTGAACTGCTTAAGAGCTTCTTGTACAGAACAGAGCATATATGATCACCTAAAATGATTCCATCACAAGGCAAATTGGAGATTTTACACTATAGCACTGTCATCAATTGAAGAAATCCCCCTGATTCCAGTTGGCTTTGGATCAGGGCTTTATTTCAGAGAGTTTCTAATTCCTGGACTCACCTGGAAAACTTTATGATCAATCCAGCGTTATAACCTGCAAGACCTAAAATGTTCCTTTGAAGGAGCGAGGCTCTGAGGGGTGGTTTTTGAGAGCAAAGGGGCTGAGAGGGTTCAATGCATCCCAAAAACAAAACAAGGGCAATGAAAAACATCAGGAAGAAAAAGCAGAGGCAAAGGGGGGGGTGATTCTTCTTCAAAAGGTTCCTAAAGGTTAGTGTGGGTTAGTGTGCTGGGCTGCAGAGGCTCACTGAAGCTTTGCCTTAGGGGAATGCATTTCTTATTAAGGAAATAACTTTCTAAACACAGAGCACTTCTAATTTCATAAGTGAACAAATGGTTCAATTCCTACTGAACACTTGAGAGGGAGGAATGTGGTCTTGCACTTCAGCCCTCTGGAGCAGCCAGGTGCTTCTCACCATCTCCTTCCAGTGGGTCTTTCCTGCTCTCGCACTGGGATTTGGCCAAACTTCCACAAGTTGGGCTTCTCCTCTGGAACACGATCCTGCTGTCTTTGGGCCTCTGAATTTATACAACCTATTGCACAGAATGATCAGCCTCCTCGAATCTAGGTCAGAACGCACTGACTGGATTGATTTAACTATAGATATACTCTTCTTTTAGGGTTTTTTAATTTTGTTTTCCTTTCTCTCTCCCCTTTTTCTCCCCCTCCTGCCTTTCCTGGAATAAAAGCAGGTCTTAAACCCAAGCCAGAACATTATCAAAAAGCCTGACCACTTGCTTTGGAGGGCTGAGCAGAGGTTTGCTGGGATATGCAACGTGCTTTACTATTGCTGCTGCTATGGTGTGACGCCTGCTCACAACTTTGAATGGACAAAGGACCACAAAGAAAAAAAAAAGATTCTTTCAGGAGTTTTGCTAAATTCTCTCCTCTTCTTTTCACAGCCTCGCTGAAAGGCTTCATGAAGCTGCCTCACCAGAGGCCACGAAAGGTCACAATCTCTGTGGGATGCTGTAAAGCAGAGACTGAGAGGGGTTGGTGGTGATCTATTGATGTGTCTGTAATAACAACAAGAATAAAACGGTAGCCATAAACCTTTCATCCTGGGGGGTCCCACAGAGCTTTTCAGTATGTGGGATGGATCCGGAGAGGTTCTGAGGGCCCTTCCCCAGCCGTAAAAGCACCACGAATGCTGGTGGCCGAGCACCCGCTGTATGGGGCCGAGCACCTCACCCGATCCATCCCTGCCAGGGCACAAGCATCACTTCGTCTCTGGGCCACCGCTCCCGTGGGAGGCCCCCGCAGCACTTCAGCAGCACAAAGCGGTTTAGATTGAAGCCCGTGCGTGCGAGTGGTGAGAACGATGCTGTGATGGGGAATGTATGGAGAGTTAACTGGCCCCAATTCCAAGCTTGGGATAAAGGAGGGAGGAGAAAGGAAGAGGAAATAATTCACTAACAGTATCCCATGCGGGTTAAATGTCCCATCCATCCTGATCAATGAGAACACAGCCGGGTTTTTAGCAGGCACACAAAAGGGTCAGCAGGGTTCAGCTCCTGTGCCCCTCCTGCCTCCTCCTAACCTGCGGTGCAGGCGGTGTGGGGCAGGGGAAAGCTCACTGACAGGCTCACCTCTGCTCTGCTGGGCTGTAGGTCTGTCCTCGCTGGCAGCTGCTGATGGTGATGGGGTCGAAGTTGTGGAAGGAACGCAGGGCCACCCCAGAGATGGCCACAAACTGGGAGCTGAAGCTAATGAGGACAGTCTGGGTGTGATAAAAAGGGTGACTGAGGTCATGGATGACGGGGATAATCAGGGGATTGTTCCTGCAGCTCAGGACGTGGACACCTGCCAGAGGAGAGACAAGATCAGAGGAAGGGTCAGGCTTAACACAATCGCTTCCCAGAGCTGTGGGCACTTCAGAAGCATTTCACCCATAGGAATGGCCCTATAGAGCTGAAAAGTTATGGTAAGCTGCCTGGAGGGGCTTCCCAAATGGCTCTGGAGAGCTTAGCAGGGAAGTATATCCCTCCAGACAGCTGAAGAAAGGATGCCATTCTCTCTGCCAAGTGAGGCAGGCTCTCAGAGCAGTTTCTTTAGACCACAGCTCCATTTCTATTGTGCTCTGTTAAACCAGGAGCAACCATCATGGAGGAAGCGGAGTCGCACTCTTGTAAAACCAATCCTGAGAGGACAGTTGGAGGCTTTATACCATGCATCAAATGGTGCCAGCAGGCTGAGCGGCTTCTTGCACCATGGGCAGGGCACCAATGGCCTGCTTGTAGCTGTGTATGTCATTAGCACTCAAAACTTCTTTAGCATGAGCTCTACACTAAGTGTGCTCAGTTTTGATTTGTTTGATGGTTTTCATCCTTAGGGTATCGTGCTTTTTGCTAAAAAAGGAAAAGATGGTCCTGGAGAGAGACACGAGGGTGATAAACCCATTGAGGACTTTACATGTGATCTCATTTGAGAAGAAAATAATGGTTTCTTAGGAAAACCCAAGTCTCTCAAGAGGTTGAGTTGCAGAGAAGCACCAGAGAAGTGACAAGGAGACTTTGTGATCCCTTTTCTTCAGCAGAGAAGGCACCTAGTGATAGTTGGGAAGAAATCCCTACCTTCAAGTAGAGGCAACTTGAATTCAAACAGGCTGAATCCATCTCAGGGGTATCTCAAAGGACAGACAGCAGTTGTCTGGCCTCAAGATTCATTAATTAAGATTCAGTGCCTGATGGCTGCCTGCACAGCCCTGCCTCCACAGCTCCATGGCATCACTCCGAGGATCAGCTTGGCTCCAGCTCCCTCCACTTCACTGGAGCTCCCAGCAACGCCTTTGGCCCAGGCCCTTTGGCTTCCCAGCTACACTTATGAATGTGAAAAGAAACTAAATTCTATTTGCATGTTTAACTGGCTCAGGGGTTTCTATTATTATTATTATTAATTTTTTCCAGTTCACGTTTCTTGACTCGAAAAGGAAGGAATAAAAAAGTTTTCATTTTTCTCCTTAGAAAGTGATTTCCTGTGAATTAAGACAGACTTTGACCACTCTCTTTAAAGATCCATCTCCCACCCTCTACTTTAAAAATATCTTCCTGTAATAAAAGAAAAAAAAAAAAATAGAATAAAAAAGCAAACCTCTTTTTGTTTTGGTCTCTACCTGACCCTGAAATAACCTCCCTGTCTGCTTGCCTCCCACAGGCTTTTTGATATCAGCTCCTTGTGGAACGGCGCACGTTTCTCACTTACAAACAGGTGCAGTTAATACTCGAAATCCCAGGTTCCCAAATTCCTTGGAAGTTTCTGTCTTCTCTGATGGGAAGCCAAGAAAGACCTTATGGTATGAGGCTGTTTATTCACTTCACTTTCATTCCTCACACTCAGGTGGTGTCCACAACAAAACAGACCCTCAGAGGCTGTGCTGCAGTTGTTGGTGCTTTCTAATCCCAACAAGGTGAACAGAGGCTGCAGGTCAGGTTCATTTAGTTGACCTACCTTCATTAGCAAAATCCACTCAGGATATATAGGTGCCATGGAGTTAGAGCTGCCTCCATGCTTGCCGCTGTTTCTGTAGCTCTATACCCACCTATTCAGGGCTGAACAACTCTTGCAAGCACCCAGCAGATGAACCTCGTTGTCCACAATGGCTCTGAACTAACAGCACTGAGGTCTTTGGCACCCCAAACTCTCCATCTCCTACAAGACTCTGAAGAAGCTTCTCATTATTTTCTGGTACAAACTTGCTTTGATGAAGGTGGGAAACTGCACTTGTGGATAGACCCTGTTTTGCTCATAGCAGTGTCTCCAGCACTCTGAGGACTGATGAGGCTTTAAATTATTACAAGTTCTTTTTGGATGTGCTTTTAGTTTGCCACTAACTTCTGCTTAAGGCTGGCAGGCTGGCTGACTGTCTGCAGTCAATCCTGCACCCAGGGCATGCCAAGGTTTGCATCTCAGCTGCAGTTTCTAGCTCACCACCATGACAATTCCGACACATCAGACAATATCCAGGAAAAGGACTTAATGCCACAGCCAGAACTCAGACAAAACAGTGATTGAGAGTTCTGTTTGGGTGAGAAGTGCTGGGTAGCCTACCTACACCTCTCCTCTGCTCCAGACCAGCCTCTGGGAAAGGTCAGAGGGGCTTTTCCATGGTGAAGGCAGCATTTCAGCTGTGAAGATCTCCAGGCGCCAGGCTGAGCATTGCCAAACTCATGTTGCAACTTCATTGAGGATTTCAAAACCTAACCCTCCGTTTCCTCTTTGCTCCTCTTTCTGGTTCTCTTTCTCTCACAAGGTGTCTGCCTGTCTCCATAAAACGTCGCATTAAGTGTTTGTTGGCACACTTGTGTCGCCAGCTTTTATTTTTCGAAGGGAAATAGCTATGTGCCACTGTTCCGTGAAAGGAGGAGGAGGACGAGACTAATCCAGGGGCTCTGGCAAACTGTGATCTCTATCCTGACTCAACCTGCACAACTTGCAGTGAATGTCAGTTCACCACCACATATATTTTCTATCTTTTCCGCCATACCCCGCCCTGGATAGTCATCCATAACTGTCACTTGTGTGCGTCCCTTCTTCTCATCACTAGCAGGAAGTTCATTTGAGTTTCAGCTTGTCAAAATTGCCAAGTTATGGTAAAACAGAAAGCTGAGAATGAGGGGTTATGTTTCCTTAAAAACCTGTCAAAGTGTCATGGCCAGTTTTCTTCCCAGTGGAAAAAAGGGCAGGCAACAGCTGGAAAAGGATTTGCAAGTCCTGCCCTGACTTGGAGTTGGGAGCTATGGTGAGCTCCTTGGTCCTGGAGCTTTAACGTATCGAGAATCAATTCACCTGACACAACTTTCCCAGGTTCAGGGACCTGTACCCAGGGGTAGAGACAAAAATGGTCTATCCTGGCACTTTAGCACAAGTGGCAGGTCCACAGGCACTACCAGGCACATCTTGAGGCCATGCAAGGAGGCTGCAAGGGCCCTGGTGTTAAACCTTCATCAGACCTTAAATACTTCACATGAAAAATTTTGGCCATTAGAAAGCTGTGGAAGCCTCCTGCAAGCAGGAGTAGAGATCCACCGACTACGCCTGGTGATACAGAAGTATTTGCTGCAGCAGCTGGTGCAGGTCCCTCACTCGCTGCTACCAGAAGTTCATCTGCATCACTGCCAATGCCTCTACAGGGAGATGCTGTGTGTAAAGCATTGAAATAGTGCTTATTTTAATGACTAAAGAGGAACTTCACTTAGTGAACCCAGAATGAACAGGTATGGAGAAATGTTTGTATAAAATGATGCCACGTTTTCAACAAACTCTCGTGGAATTCAGGGCCTGGAGCATTAAGCAATTACTCTTTTGTCTGATCCTGGAAACACTGTGCAGAAGTATCAGTCAGTTTGTGAACAGGGATAGCAGCAGATTAAGCAAGCAATAAAGAAGGAGTTTAATTAAATACAGTCTTACCAAGATCATGGCTTTGCTCTTTGGTGTCAAACAGCTGCACACCGATGGTCTCCTGCTTCTGATCCAGGTAATAGGTCCCATCAGTGACCAGGTGAACTAGGACTGCTGCAGCTACCATAGGCTGGGAAAAAAAAGCCTGGGAAAACAAAAGCCCCACAAAGGCTGAGGTGCAGAACTGTGGTGAGCTTAAAAAAAATCCCAAAAGTCAGTCCAGGACTTGTAATAGAACAATTTCCAACACAATTCCCATCCTGGGTCACACAGAAACCTTCACTTCCAATCTCTCCTACACAAACTAGATGATAAACCCAAGTCAAACAGCCCTGCACCTGGAGTCTGTACCCTCAGAAACTCAATAGCCTCATCCCAGGAGGGGACTTCCCCACCAACTCTCTAGACAGTGCTCAAAGACTTTGTTTTGCTCTTATGCACTAACTGTAGTCCAAAGAAAGGAGCAGCTTGGCTCTGGGAAGGCTGTCCCATGCTATTTTGCCTGTTGGAGAAACTTTGTAAAGGCAGGCAAAGAGGAGACATCTGAATGACATGTGTACTTCTTACCTTCAGCCAGAAAACGGTCTGTGCCATGTGGGAATACTGGAAGTTGGCCGTGCAGGGATACCAGGCATACTGAGAGACACCATCATTCAGGTCAATCACCTTAGTTCGACACGTCTGTGGGAGAAAAGAAAAACACGAAAACAGATGTAGATGACAGTAAGAAAGGGTTATGATGTTTAAAGCCCAGGTGCACTGCTAGAATCAAATAACACATAATAATGATGTTTCTAAATGTCATGAGATTATTCAAAAGTTAAGTTTTCAGGGTTTCCACCTCAATAAGAAAAATTAAAACATCAAAAAGGAGCTAAAGACTCACAGCAGCTTGATGGAAGCCAACAGTTGTCTCTTAACTTGGTACAAGGTCTTTGACAGCACTCAGAACAACTTTGCTCTCACCCAAATGGAACACGACTCTTCCCACTGGAGTCAAAGTGATGATCACTTCTGAACACACTAACTCTCAACACACACTGCCTGCAGATGCTCTCCACAGTACTCAAGCAGTGCCCTATTTAAACCTGCATGTTACCCCAGGGAAGCCACAGATGGCCATGTAAACTGGGAAGCAAGTGTAGCCAGGAAAGTCCTGTGTCTACAACCCAATTTAAGCAGAAGTAGTTTCTTGTTTTGTCAACTAGTTTGTGCAAGTGGAATCACCTTCTTCCTACGCCTAGAACACCTTCCATGGCAGGCAGCAGTGACATAAGCAAACTGCTCTCTTCAGTAGAAAACAAGTAGATGAATCCCAAATGCTGGCATGGATGAAAAGCTCAAAGAAAATGCCAGAATCTAAGTATCAGAGAGCCTCATGGTGCCACCATTATGTAAGATGTGCAAATGAAGCTGCAAGAAATGGTAGGATTTACCCTGAAAACACACTGCACAGTGAAGCTGCTTCAGAAAAACATGCATGACCATTGCCTCATTTCTTCCAGCAAACATGAAGAAGGAAACATCTACCATGCAAAAGGCTACAACTGCATTGGAAGGATGCTTTCAAGTCTTGGAGCATCTGAAGCGTACCTGTTAAGATTCACAACACTCTGGTGAACTCAGTGACTCACTTCCTTGTGGTCACACAGTCTAGTGGCAATAGAGCTAAGAATGTAACCCAAGAGGCCAAAGCACCTCCAGCAGCTGAGCTGGCCACAGGACAGCCAGGGACTGATCACCTGTGCTCGGTGCTAACTGGAGCTATGTTCTCCTGGGGACATTACTAGATTTCTTTCCAGAACCAGAGCCTGAGCTGAGCATCAGGTGGTGATGTGCTGTCAGTAAAGCTGTTCCCATAAGCAATTCCCCTGATTATTAAAACAAAAAGAAAACCCTGAAATGAAATAAGAGAATTAACTGAGATGTTTTAACCATTCAAAATCCTGTGCCCACTCAGGTGTTCTGCATGGAACTGCCCTCTTGGTCCTGCAGGCAAAGTCCAGGCTATGCAAAGAAATCCTGGGATGTCTGGGAATGAGAAACCAGATTGGTTAGAAGTGAGGTAATCACCTCTATAATCTGAGTCCCTCAAGATCCAGCACAGAGGAATCTATGGGCAAAACATAAATCAGCTTTAATGGGCTGGAAGAAGATTTTGAGTTTATTTATTTTTTGAAACAACTGGGACCAAGCTTCATTGAGGCTAGCCAGTGGATAGTGTTACATTTTACAGCAGAGCAAGGCTTTACATAAACTATCTTTGGCATTTGAAATCCAGGCCAGCAATTCGACATGTACCATTTCGCAATTCTCCCTCCTTGCATTTTCAGCAGCCTGTCTCTTGTTGGGAGCATGGTTTTTATTTTCATACCTCTCCAGCTAGGGAATTTATCTTACCCACATCTGCAATTTATATGGTCAGAGAGCTTTTTGACATGAACAAAGGTCTCATTACTTTTATATGATTTTGTTCTTATTCTTACATCTCCTCCTGCTTTCTCTGTCCAAAAAGGTGGTTGAAAGAAACAAAAGTACTGATGTTTGGTGTATTTTAAGTGCCACTTAATGGATGAGTGAAAACCTGTATTAAGAAATCACCCAGACCTTCACCAAAAGTTTGACTCAAACCCAAAATAAACCCCTGCTGAGGGGGGGCTGGAAATCTCTGATAACTTTTAAATGCTTTGTTTGATTTGTGTGCATGTGTGAACCCGAGCACGAATCTTAAGAACACATAAAGAGCCTGTGTTTGAGACACATGCAGCTGAGGTGTGCAGCATCCGACGACTCCTCTGCTTTGAGCAGGTTAGATAAGCATCCTCCTGCTGAGGCTGCTCCATCACTACTCAGACAAATGATTCAAAGTGGTACCAGGGTAAAAAGTTCTTTTAGGAGAAGAGTATTGATTGAGAAGTGTGGGAAAAGTCTAACAGACATGACATGAAGTGTGGCTCTTCTATACTGCCTGCTGTCTACTAAACCCAGCTAATGGCCAAAAAGCTCTTTAAGATTTTGTAATAACAATTTGCTTGGATAAATCCACCACCTACAGACTCCACCACCTCAACAGGCTCTCAGACACATGGTAAACACATCCCCTTCTCAATTCTATCCAGTTATCGAGTGTCACGCCGCAACTGCAAAGTCTCATTTGCTGGGAGAGTCTTTCACACCTCTGCTTTTAAGGTGCCCCTAGAAGATGGCATGAGAGTGAAGGCACTTATTACTGCAGTACCACCACCTTTAAGATGGTAGTGGAAGTTCCAGTGGCCTGGAAGACAGAGCATCATCTCTCCTCAGGGCTACGAGTTCCTAGAAATTCATGCTTATGAGAAATAAATCATTTTCTAACATCCTCCAGTTTGTTGCAGTGATGCAGAACAGCAGCTGAAGCACCTGACAGCTGTGAAGGGAAGAAGGAATAGATGTGCTTTTCACTTCAGGGTGTTACCAAACACTAAAGTATTTGCTTTGAAGGATGACAGCATCACGCACGACTCAAAACTTCACTCACTGGGGCTTATCCAGGTTCTCAGACCCACACACCAACTGAGGATCCACAGGAGCTTTAGTATCTGCTCCAAAGTATGCAGGGACTATTTGTGTCTACTTACTGGGAGCCCATGTCATACCCGTCCCTAGGAAGCTGCTTTCAATTAAAGGAGCTGATGTCTGTTCCTCTTGGAGGTTCTAATCCAGCTCGTCTCCCACCCACACGTTTTGTACACAAACATCGAGAGACAGAATGAACAAGGCCAAGGAGCACTGTGGGATCTTCCCACAAGAGGGAATGCCTGGAGGATTCCCTTTGACTGATTTATACAACCTCTTGTCAATCACAGGGACAACATGTTCTTCAAACCGCCTCTCCTGTTTTCCTTCTCTTACTCCAGGGGACCAAGGAATGTGTCAGCAGAAAGGGAAAAGTGATATATTGGGAGCACTTAGTTCATTGCCACATCTAAAATGCATTTACTATTGCAATCAACTCAATTTCCTCATAACGTTTTCCTTCAAAGTAATACGGGAAAATTTGCTGAAGAGCAAATTTTGGAAGGCACCCTTGTGAATGATTCCCAGACATCCCATGGCTTCAGGCAGTTGTTGTGTTGATGGGCTCCATTGGACTAGGTCTCAACCTGACTGAGCCCAGTGCATGGCCTCATTACAACCTTTTGGGTAGCACTTGGCTTCTCCAAGCCTGAGGCACCCCTTTCTGTAAGACACACATGTACCTTCAGGGTGAAAGCCACTAACCACAAAAAGGTGCTCAGATGTTAAAAAGAGAAGGGACAAACAAGCACACAGATGTGTGAAGGGTGTATCTCCCTGTAGGAGTGGGTTAAATACAGAGATGACATCCCACCCTGTCCTTCCCATTGAGCAAGCACAGCCAGACGCCACAGGCTTTGCAGACACTGGTGGTTCTTGTTTCTCACATTGTAACATCAAAATAATTCTACTTGCATACAGGCAAAGCTGCTGTTTGAGCAAGGATGCTGCCCTAAGCTCTGGCATACAGCTGACGTCGTGGTTGGAGTGGACGTGCCTGTCTGCATCCCCACGGGCACCTCTAAACAGAGGAACTCTCCACTGTGCACATCTGTCTCCTCACAAAATCCCATCTGTTGTCCCATGGTGGGGCTTCCTCCAGACCACCTCTTCAAGCTAAGTATGGCTGTGAAGGGCCATAGCCACCACTTGTGCATCAGACACTGGAGAGCAACCTCCTTCTGGGGACGAAGGGTGGAGGTGGTTACTATGCCCCAAGCTGCTGCCATTTCTTCACTGAGACAGGCAATGCTGCAGTTGATCAACAGGTCTATACCCTGTCCCATTTGCAAAACAGCAACCACAGAACAAGCAGGAGCAGGACAGGCTGGCAAACCCTATTGTACCATCTCTTTATGGAGCACTTAGCATCCTGAGTGAAGTTGTACAAGTGCATGGAAAAGCTCATGGACTGATAGGAAATCCACAGAGGCACAAGCAACATACTCTATTGTTTGAAGATCCGGCTAAAGAACAGATTTCAACCATAATACTGAAACCTAATTAATCTCCAATTTTTAGCTGACTGCTCTGCAGAATGTTATTTATATTTAACTCAACACATGCCAGAGAATCCCAACCATGACATAAGCAGCGTTTTAACACATCTCTTACAGATGAAAACTTTCTCCATTGCCAGACAAGGGGGCTGGCAGTCACCCAGACCTTTTCTTCTTAAATATGTTATTGTTTTTGCAGACCTAAGGTTAAGCTTACCCAAGGATGGGAAAATGTGGTGCAGTTGCTAAATATCAGAAAGGTTCCTGCTTGTTTATTGCCCACTATTATAAGGCAGCTTGACTGCCACATGGACACCACCCAGTTTGCCGACTGCAGCACAGACCTCCAATCTGTTCTGAAAGCTGTTGCACTGTTCTTCTCATTTAGGCTGGGAATTGGGTTGGAGTTACAGAGAAATTAAATTGCCCACATTTGTGAGCACCGAACCATTAAAAAGGCCACCACTTGGGTTTCTGCAATCACCTCAAAAATCAGCCAATTTCTAGGACCATTTCAAACCTCAGGAGCCCACAGAGCTCAGATGGAAACTGTACACACAGCCTTACTCAAGGGACATCAGGAATTTTGCTCTGGGTTTTCATTTAGGTTCTGGTCTGAAATGTTTT